AAATGATTTAACCAAACCTGTTTGAATATATATATATATATATATACTCTCGACTCTCCCGTCGAATTCGACGTATGAGTGTCAAGCAGGTCAGTAACCAGGAAAGCGACAGCTCCACACACACACACACACACACACACACACACACACATATATATATACATATATATATATTGTGTGTATTTAGGCAGCATCTTTTCATTCATACACGTTTCATTAAGTAATATAGACAAGTGTTGTCTATTTATTTTATGTAAACTCTTTTCATAACGTCTAATAAGTTTAATAACATTTTAATTGAACGTAGAAAGATATATATATATATATATATATAGATAGATAGATAGATATTTAATTTAATTAGAAAACAGACAGCCTTAAGGGTTCATTGGTTATAATTTATTTCGCCAGGTATGTAGTTTGTACCTGATTCACCAGACCACACATCCAAGGGTGAAAAAAATGTGTTTTAAATTTACATATAATTTTTATACACATTTGAGGGGAAGTTTTAAGCTGATGTAAGGTGATATAGAGAGAGGGAGGAGGAGGAGGAGGACGACGACAGATATGGTCGAAATTAGAGAGGGAAGGGAGATATAGGAATAATTTTAAATCTATTTTTATTAAAATATTTAAGAGTAAGAAAGAGTGGTAAGGACCAGACATTGACGTATATTAGACATCTTTTGTTGAATAATATGGACAAGTTCTGTCTATCGATGTTTTACAATGTAAATTGACCAAAATTCTTATTAACTTATTATTTTTATATTATTTTATGCCCGATTACTTTTCAAGGATTATTCTGAGTGCAGTTCTTGTAAAGATGGCAGAGTGGATTCCCCTTACCATTTCCAAACTTTCCAATTCCGCTGCAATTTAACCCATGGTTCTACGAGAAAGAAAGAATCTATACATGTCTTTCGTAAGGGCATTAATCCAAAGTAAATTCGACTGATTCGATCACAGTTTGAACTCAGTCCGTCGATTCTATATTCTGTGCCGAAGACCGTTGGGCTAAGTTGTTTCGTGGTGTCTTCTTTTAAAAGCCGGACGAAAGCGAAGTTTCATGTCACGAGAAGAAAAACAAAAGGTGTTATCGTACTATCATAATGTTATCTTTGTCTGGACAAATAAGAACACTTGGCGAAATCTCTCAGACATAAAGTTATTGTTTCTTCACCTCCGAATGAAAAAATGCAATATAGTTTTGCCATGAAGAAGCATTGGAAATGATTTTACAAGGAGAATGTATTGCAAATGATTTTATTATGAAAATGCATTGGCAAATGATTTTACTATGAAAATGCATTGCAAATGATTTTACTATGAAAATGCATTGGAAATGATTTTACTATGAAAATGCATTGCAAATGATTTTACTATGAAAATGCATTGGAAATGATTTTACTATGAAAATGCATTGCAAATGATTTTACTATGAAAATGCATTGCAAATAATTTTACTATGAAAATGCATTACAAATGATTTTACTATGAAAATGCATTGTAATTGATTTTACTATGAAGATGCATTGGAAATGATTTTACTATGAAAATGCATTGGAAATGATTTTACTATGAAAATGCATTGCAAATGATTTTAATATGAAAATATATTGCAAATGATTTTACTATGAAAATGCATTGCAAATAATTTTACTATGAAAATGCATTTGAAATGATTTTACTATGAAAATGCATTGGAAATGATTTTACTATGAAAATGCATTGCAAATAATTTTACTATGAAAATGCATTACAAATGATTTTACTGTGAAAAAGCATTGCAAATGATTTTACTATGAAAATGCATTGCAAATGATTTTACTATGAAAATGCATTGTAATTGATTTTACTATGAAGATGCATTGGAAATGATTTTACTATGAAAATGCATTGGAAATGATTTTACTATGAAAATGCATTGCAAATGATTTTAATATGAAAATATATTGCAAATGATTTTACTATGAAAATGCATTGCAAATAATTTTACTATGAAAATGCATTGGAAATGATTTTACTATGAAAATGCATTGGAAATGATTTTACTCTGAAAATGCATTGTAAATGATTTTAATATGAAAATATATTGCAAATGATTTTAATATGAAAATGCATTACAATTAATTTTACTATGAAAATGCATTACAAATGATTTTACTGTGAAAATGCATTGCAAATTATTTTCTTACGAAAACGCATTGCAAATGATTTACTAAGAAAATGTATTACAAATGATGTTATTTCTGGTTGTAACCTAATGCTATAGACGATCGGGGCAGGGATAAAGCGTAGGTGAGAGGCGAGGTGAACATTCTAACAGGCGTCTTTCCTTTCCCCCCGATGCAAGACGTTCTTCTCGTTACTCTGTCCTTTTCGCAGGTAGTGACCACTGTTTTATAGTGATTGTCTTTTGTCATCTTTGTCTAAAAAATCAATTTATCTTTATTCAGTGACTTCCTTTGCCCGAGCCGTTTATCATAATACTTATGAAGTCCACTTCACTCAAATATTAATCATCGAGAAAATAATGTCTGAATACATTTTTGTGGCAGGTCAGCTGTTTTCCATTTAATAAGATATCGCCTAACAATAATATCGTTACATCCTATAAGGAAACATTTGACTTTCATTGACCGAGCAGCCAGTACAGCATTCGGTTGACATTTATAAAAATCTTTCTCTTAAAACAATTTAACTAAAGTTAGTTAGATCTAGTGACAGGACCCAAAGTGTGTGAGTTCAATACCCGGTTAAGGCAGTGGAGAACTTTCAGAAGGGAATTAACAGGAGTTAACTGATAATTGGTAATTGAATAAGAAAGAAAGAAAGAAAGAATGGAAGGTGGCGAACGGGAAAAAGAGGAAATAAATAAGAAATAAAGGCGAATGTAACTGAATAAGAAAGAAAGAAAGAAAGAAAGAAAGAAAGAAAGAAAGAAAGAAAGAAAGAAAGAAAGAAATGGAAGGTGGCGAACAGAAAAATGAAGACATTGTCCAGGATTCCCTGCCATATAGGAGATTAGATATTACATATCAGTTCAGCACTCTTTTCTTTGTTTCTAATGACATTTTCCTATCTCTTAATACTTTGCTTAGTTTATGAAAGACATGATAGAGATTGCCCAGCATTTGATATTACATAGCAGTTCAGCACTCTTTTCTTTGTTTCTAATGACATTTTCCTATCTCTTAATACTTTGCTTAGTTTATGAAAGGCATGAAGAGATTGTCCAGCATTCACTTCCAAATAGGTGATTAGATATTGCTTAGCATTTCAGCACTCTTTTCTTTGTTTCTAATGGAATTTTTCTTGTTTTTTAATACATTGTTTATCGTTTGGAAGACGTCTTTGTTATTCCAATGCGCCGTCGGATTTAGTTGTCCTATTTTCCGTCCTCTGTTAAAACAATTCCGAAGTATTTAAACGCGAACTTGATTTTAACATCTCCAATTCCGAGCTTGCATTCTGAGCTGTTTCTCTCGATTCATTCTGTTTGTTTTTTGTTTTGTTTTTTCAAACAATACCAAGGGAGATTTGTATATGGTAGATCAGAATATTTTCTTAAGCGGATTACAATAAAGTGTGTCATTAAGGTTTTAATCTCACATCCACATGGCCTAAACATTGATGTCTTTTATTCCTTCTTTTTCTTAATCCACGTCTCGTAAACATTTTACATATATTACTGCCTAACCACTTGCTTTTACAAGGCATTGTTTGATTGTTTGTGGGGATGTCTTATATCTCAACCAGTTACTATATTAAAAATCCGTATAAAACACAAGGATATATATATACATATACATATGTGGGTTACCTCGGCGTGGTGTAATGGTTAGTGAGCTTGTCTCGCTAAAACAGTTACGACTGAGTTAGTGTGTTCGATTTTCACTGGGTGCCTCATAATTTCGGCCTTGTGCCACATCTAAGCTACGCTTCTAAAGTCATTTAGGCACCTTGACGTGGTGTAATGGTTAGAAAGCTTGTCTTACTAGATCAATTACGACTGAGTAGTGAGTTCGATCCTCACTGGGTGCCCCATACTTTCGGCCTTATGCCACATATAAGCCGGGTTTAGAAAATCACTATATAGATTTACTGTCTCTTAGAAGATGGCATATATAGCAGTTAAGCAATTTTTCTTTGTTTCTAACGACGTTTTCCTATCTCTTAATACTTTGCTTAGTTTATGAAAGGCATGAGGAGATTGTCCAGCATTCACTTCCAAATAGGTGATTAGATATTACATATCAGTTCGGCACTCTTTCCTTTGTTTTTAAAGACATTTTCCTGTCTCTTAATACTTTGCTTAGTTTATGAAAGGCATGTTTATCCTTGTGTTTTATACGGCTGCCATGAGCCTCATTTGGGGATCTGTTGAAATATATATGTTGTCACCGAGCCCCGAATGAACACTTGGTATAATTTTTGCCTGATAATGTAACTGTCCGGGTTTCAATTCTTGGTAGTGGATGCGCACTGCTGATGAGTCCCAAATATAGGACGAAACGGCCGTCCAGTACTTTCTGCATTCTGTTGAGGTTTCTTCTAGACTCGATGAATTACTTATAATTATCTCAAATTTTACAAAATGCGTAGGCTGATCCAATGTTGCAAATTGCTAGTCAGAAAATTTCGAAAGTCATGTAATGCTTTCATTAATTATTATATATATATATATATATATATATATATATATATATATATATATATATATAAGACCAAAAAGGCGCGAAGTTAGGAAAAAATCTGCAAGCGTTTGAATAATAATATACCATCCGCACCCAGAGTCCTCAGTGAGTGGTGATGAGATTCTAGCCAAGGAGTCGACCTATGCTCGCTGATCATTTCGCGTCAGCCTTGAAACGATGCTACCACTACTGTCTCTCATATAATAAATCGAGATAAAAAACGGGAATTGTCCATCGTTGATGCCTGAAGAACTGAAACCAGACACGACACAAAACTCAATAGACTCAAGGAATTTTTACTTTTAGACTCAAGTACAAATCCGACTAATGTTTACCTATAATGTCAACTATAAACGTGAGCAACGTTTTCCTATAGACTCAGGCACCAACACGACCTGTATGTTTATCCATAAACTCGTATGTAAACTAGACTAATGTTTACCTATATTGACTCAAGTATAAACTCGACAAATGTTATCTATAGCCTCAAGAATAAACCCGATAATTGTTTTATTATAGACTCAAGTATAAACCCGACTAATGTTTATCTATAGCCTCAAGAATAAAACCGATAATTGTTTTATTATACACTCAAATATAAACCCGACTAGTGTTTATCTATAGACTCAAGAATAAACCGAATAATTGTTTTATTATAGACTCAAGTATAAAACCGACTAATGTTTATCTATAGCCTCAAGAATAAACCCAATAATTATTTTATTATAGACTCAAGTATAAACCCGACTAATGTTTATCTGTAGCCTCAAGAATAAACCCAATAATTGTTTTATTATAGACTCAAATATAAATCCGACTAATGTTTATCTATAGCCTCAAGAATAAACCCGATAATTGTTTTATTATAGACTCAAGTATAAAACCGACTAATATTTACTAATCGACTCAAGGATAAACCCAAACAATGTTTGTATATGCAGAAACAATGAACAGCTAGACCAATGTTTACTTATATACTCAAATATAGGCTCGACTAATGTTTACGTATAGTCTCAAATATAAGCTCGACTAATGTTTGCCTGTGTACTCAATTATAAACTCAGGCAATGTTTACCTTTGTTGCCTGAAATATTAAAATAAAAAACAGATTTCTACATTAAACAATGCCACAAGCCAACTCCATATCACTATGCATAGCTGCGAAACCATACGTTGTTAGGGAGCAGTCATTAATCTGTGAACACACTTCAGTTTCTTTGGGAAAGATTATTGGAAGTTATGAAAATTGGTTGTTTTTCAAACGAAGAAAAGAAGAATATGGCAGCCTGGATACGTGTAAAGGAATTATGAAGAGAAAAAAAAAGAAGAAAATACTTGAAAGGATTGTTTTACAAAAACTTGACAAAGAAAAAAGAGTCGGCAAACAACAAATTCCGCTGGGGAATTCGAGGAGAAAAATTTGTGTCAAGGTGGAAGTAAAACTAGTGCCATAATTTTCTGAAATGACAATGTTTATCTGAGTCAGGCCATTGTGAAAAGAAAGAAAGAAGGAAAGAAAGAAGAATGGAAGGTGGCGAAGAGGGAAAAGAGGAAATAAATAAGAAATAAAGGAGAAGGTAATGGAATAAGAAAGAAAGAAAGAAAGAAAGAAAGAAAGAAAGAAAGAAAGAAAAAAAGAAAGAGGAACGGAAAGGGGCGAACAGGAAAAAGAAATAAATAAGAAAAAAGGAGAAGGTAATGGAATAAGAAAGAAAAGAAAGAAAGAAAGAAATAAATAAAGAAAAAAAAAAGAAAGAGAAATGGGGGTGAACAGGAAAAAGGTAATGGAGAAGGTAATGGAATAAGAAAGAAAGAAAGAAAAAGAAAGAAAAAGAAAAGAAGAAAGAAAGAAAGAAAGAAAGAGGAAAAGAACAAAAAAAGAGAAATAAATAAGAAAAAAAAGGAGAAGGTGGAATAGGAAAAAAGAAAGAAATAAATAAAGAAATGGGGGGGTGAAAGGAAAAAGAGGAAATAAATAAGAAATAAAGGAAAGGTAATGGAATAAGAAAGAAAGAAAGAAAGAAAGAAAGAAAGAAAGAAAGAAAGAAAGAAAGAAAGAGGAACAGGAAAAAGAGGAAATAAATAAGAAATAAAGGAGAAGGTAATGGAATAAGAAAGGAAAAAAGAAAAGAAAGAAAGAAAAAAGAAAGAAATAAAGGAGAAGGGAAATAAATAAGAAATAAAGGAGAAGGTAATGGAATAAGAAAGAAAGAAAGAAAGAAAGAAAGAAAGAAAAGAAAAGAAAGAAAGAAAGAAAGAGGAACGAAGGGGAAGAACAGGAAAAAGAGGAAATAAATAAGAAATAAAGGAGAAGGTAATGGAATAAGAAAAGAAAGAAAGAAAGAAAGAAAGAAAGAAAGAAAGAAAGAGAAATGGAAAGAAAAAAGAGGAAATAAATAAGAAATAAAGGAGAAGGTAATGGAATAAGAAAGAAAGAAAGAAAGAAAAGAAAAAAAGAAAGAAAGAAAGAAAGAAAGAGAAATGGAGGGAAAAAGAGGAAATAAATAAGAAATAAAGGAGAAGGTAATGGAATAAGAAAGAAAGAAAGAAAGAAAGAAAGAAAGAAAGAAAGAGAGAGAGAAAGAGAAAGAAAGAGAGAAAGAAAGAAAGAGGAACGGAAGGGGGCGACAGAAAAAAGAGGAAATAAATAAGAAATAAAGGAGAATGTAAATGAATAAGAAAGAAAGAAAGAAAGAAAGAAAGAGAGAGAGAAAGAGAATGAGAGGAAAAGAGAGAAAAAGAGAGAGAAAGAGAGAGAGAAAGAGAGAGAAAGAGAGAGAAAAAGAGAAAGAAAGAAAGAAAGAACGAACGAACTCCAATTTTACATTTGTTCATATAGATTCCATAATATAGGCTTTACTTAACCCCTTACCTGCCATAAGCCTCATTTGGGGATCTGTTAAAATTAAACTCACTACATGTTATTCCTTGAATTGTTCACATACATTTCATTTGCAGAGGTATATATTTTACAACACTTAGCCTTTAAAGTTTTTATTATTCGTCGTAAGAAGACACTTTCTGTCGTAATTTTACATTTCACGAGTGGAAAAATAACGACTATTTTGAAAAGTATTTTTTTTATTATTTCTAATCAATATTATTTTTGATGTTTTATTTATACACATATATATTTGATGTTCTAGTTTCTATAAAAACGACAATGGTAACTACTGAAATTAACCATAAGGAATAAATAAACTCCTAAGACAACTGTCTGCGCCAAAAATGCGCATTAAAAAAAATTGGCAGTTAATGGGTTAATTAGTTATTATATTTCTCTAACTCTTCAAATGTTAAATGTATAACTAATTCTAATTTCTCTTTTCCCATCTTTACACTATATTAATTTAATCTCCCCTGTTCTGTCGCCCATGACATAAAATTAATTGTTTGTACAGAAAGTAAGGATCTACGTACATCAAATCGTGTTTAAATTAAGTGGCAGCAGAAGAATTATCGTTGAACTTTTAAAAGGTGAGTTTAAACATTAATTCAATATTTAAATACAGCGATCAATTTTGAATTCTTCTGTAGTTTATTGATGCCTATCACATCTACTCTTCCTTAGGTATTGTGATGATGGCCAAACCAAAAGTCCTCTAAAGGAGCTAGCATAAATGCCGTCCAAATGTTCCTGTTAATTTTGGTTAATAACAATAAAATGCTATGGTAAACAATAGTAAATTAATTACCCATACTGTTCGAACTGCAAAACCACCTGCTTGAATACTTTGCCTTTTTAATATAAGTAACTGTATCATGACTTTATTGTCAACCTGTGTGTACATATATGTATATATGTACACACATATGTCTCTCTCTTTCTCTCTCTCTTTTTCTCTCTTTCTCTTTCTTTCTTTCTTTCTTTCTGTGTGTACATATATGTATATATGTACACACAGGGTGACAATAAAGACGGGATAACAACTGAGACATTACTCTATTGAACAATTTAGTTCATGCCACATTGACTGATAAACTCCTACAACATCAAAAATTCTCAAATTACCATATTAGTAAAAAAACTCACTCTCTTAAATTTTCAAAATAATTCAACCTTAGCATTGCGACTGCACGCTCCAGAAGTCTGTATCCGTTAACAATAACACATTTCTAAAATAAAAATTAAAAAAAAAACATATTTCGATTCACATTATATTTTTTCGTCTCGAATGTTACCAGAATTTTACCAAAAACAAAATACTTTCCATGACTGAAGATGACTGAATGTCCAGTCGAAAGTACTTGCGTATTAAAGAAAGATCTTATACAGTTTATAATTATACAGGATCATAACATTCATCGAGTGATTTGTAGGATAATGCAACTTTAAAATTTTGATAGCGAAGGGATTTCGCCATTTTATATAATTAACTTTACTAATCTACTTTTTGCATGAATGATTCATTGTAATATATATATATATATGTGTGTGTGTGTGTGAAGAAAAATATACTGAAAAAACAAACAAAAATCCCAATATGCGATTATGCTGTTTTAATATTTAATTTCAACGTCGGACGTTTCAGTCTAACAGACCATCTTCAGGACATATTAATAAAACATAATTAACATAGACCATATACAATTCAACATGAAAAAGACGATGGACATATATATATATATATATATATATATATATATATATATATATGAGGTATGAGGGTCAAGGAACCGACAGCCCAGACACCAGCATATGATTTGATTATAGTAGTGAAAGCTTCAGAACCAACAAAACTATTTGAAGGGCCGAATACAGAGACCTGGTGCACTACGTGCCACAAGGTCCCCAAACGACCCTCCGCAGGTTTTGAATTCAGAGCTGTCCTTCTCCTAGACTAGTTACCATCCAAAGCTATAGAACCCAGTCTGTCCTGCTACTTACTCCTCATAGCTGGGGGGAGAAGAAGAGGATTAATACCTTTCCCAGGGGTATAAGCACGTAAGTGAATGTAATTGATTCGACTGGAATTCGAACTCGGCTCTCTGATTTCTCACAGAATCGGAATCCTTGGAATTAATCTTCTTCTGTTGTTTGCTATGGAACCCGGTCTGTTCTATTTCATCTTTTTCATTTTGTCATTTATTTTTCCTAACATTTTTCTGGGAGGTGAAGAAGAGGATTCATACCTTTCCCAGGGGTATTAGCAAGTGAGTGAATGTAATGGATTCGAGTGGAATTCGAATATATATATATATATATATATATATATATATATATATATGTTCCCTTGTCATAAATGGATGAACCTTTGTTCAAAAGTAATGAAAAAGACATTAATTTGTTTTAGTTCATGCTAAAGGTCACTACCTCAAACTGAAAATTCGATTTTACCATCTACGTAATAAAGCTAAAAAATAAAAAAAACATTTCAGAAGCCTTATTTTTCAATTTGCTAAAGATGCAGTTGAATAGTATTTATATATTTTTAACGCATTTAACACTTTGTTGTTATTGCAGAACGTTAAAACTTATAAATAAAGAAAAACAAGATCTAAAAGGCTCCATAATATTCTATAGACTTTTAAAAAGCTTTTCACCCCAAGCAAGACAGGAGTGTCACTAGCAGAAAAGGGGTTGCAGAGGATTGAGAACAAGAGGAAAGAGGTGTGCTTGAGGAAAGGATACAGAGAAGGACGGGGAACATAATCAAGGTATCCGATGTCGATTGACATTACACTTGAATATCTGAAGGTTGTAGTTATCGGGGAAGCAAGAAAGGGGAAGGGAGTTCCACAGTCGGGTAGTGCGAGAGAAGAAGCTGTTTGAGTAGAAGAGACGGTTACATTTAACCATTTTGACAATGAAAGGGTGGGACCAAGATGCCAGCCTAGTAGCTCGCTTAAATACATGCAGCCTGGGAACCAGCGAAAGTAGCTCATTGGAACAGTTGCTGTTATATATATATATATATATATATATATATATATATATATATATATATATATATATATATATACTGACTCTCCCGTCGAATTCGACGTATGAGGGTCAAGCAGGTCAGTCCCCAGGAAACCGACAGCCCAGACACCGGCACATGAGATTTGATTATAGTGGTGAAGGTTTCGTGCAGGACCATCCACTCTTTTTGAAGGGCCGAATACAGAGACCTGGTGCACTACGTGTCACAAGGTCCACAAACGACCCTCCGCAGGTTTTGAATTCAGAGTTGTCCTTCTCCTAGACCAGTTACCATCCAAGGCTATAGAACCCAGTCTATCCTCTTATTTACCCATAGCTGGAGGGAGGAGGAGAATTAGTACTGTACTCATTGGAACCGTTGCTGTGAAAATACTTGTAGAAAAGACAGAGAGAAGCCACGGCACGTCTGTGGGAAAGCGACTGTAGACTAGATGCCAGATCAGGACCTGTTACATTGCATATTCGTCTCTGGATTTTGTCGAGGACCTCGAGACGTACAGCGGAGGCACCAGACCATATATGGCAGCAATATTCCATGCAAGGACAGATGGTTGATTTATAGATTTGAAAGATGGACTCAAACGAGAAAAAAGTTTCTAGGACTCTTAATTATAACAGTGAATGTTCTAGCTGCTACAAAATAGCAATTATACAAAATTTAATAAACCCTGCTAAAGTTAACGCATCCACAAATAAGATTTTCTACACTGAACTAGAAAACATTAAGCAAACTCTTATTAACAATGACTTTCCTAACTACATTGTTGATGAACAAATAAGGCGACCTATAACTAATTTTAATATCAACCAAATAGAACATCATAATTAAATAATAATCAAATAACCCTAAACATATCAATCTTTTATATCGTAAACAGATTCATTCTAAATACAAACAAGATCAAAAAATCCTAAAAACAATACTAATATATCCCCCACAGATTCCAGTAAAGAAATAAAATTAATTATATACTATACTAAATTTAATACAACTAGCCTAATCATCCATAATAACTCCTCCTCACCAATTAACATATTGCCAAAAACCAACATTATATATCTATTTAAATGCCCTTTGGGAGATTGCATCTCCGACAAAAATGCTAATGTATATTTTCGTTATTCTGCAACAACGTTATCAAGACGGCTCACTCTGCACATGAACGATTCATTGTCCGTTGCACAACATCTGCAAAAACATTCCTATCAACATTTACAAATTAGAAGAATATTAGTCGAAAATACCTGTATACTTCAACAAGAACGTGATAAGCGGAAACTACAAATTCTTGAAGGTATCTTTATTAAAAAATTAAAAGCAACACTTGACAAAGTTGATTATGAATATAGTACAAATGTTCTGAAATGCTAATAGTATATAGTTCTTTAAAAAAAATATATGTTAAAACTAAACAGTTTTTTTTTTAAACAAGCAAACTCTAACATCCTAACAAGAATTCAATTTTTAACTACTTTACTTCCCTTACATTAAAATTTTGACAACATGGAAATGATTTTAAAATCTCCTTTTGTGACTTTGTGAATGATCAACACTGCTAAGGGTTTAAGCACAAAAGCAAAGATTTACTTCGGACAAACACATTTCTTATGATATTGGAATATATCGAAAGTACACGGTAAACAAAAGTGAATAAATACAATCATGGTACCTTCCTTGCTCTCTTTAATCACGAAACAACAAAGTTTATACGTGATTACGAAAGGATGCCTAAATTGCTTAATCAGACATGTTAAAAGGAATATATATATATATATATATATATATATATATATATATATATAAAAGATACATAGAAACAGACGGAGATAGATAGATATTGATCAGGTTCAGATAGATAGATATCGGTCATATTGAGGTAGATAGATATCGATCAGATTGAGATAGATAGATAGATAGATAGATAGATAGATAGATAGATAGATAGATAGATAGATATCGATCAGGTTCAAATAGATAGATAGATATCAATGAGATTGAGATAGATATCGATCAGATTGAGATGGATATATAGATAGATATCGATCAGGTTGAGATAGAGAGATATATATCGATCAAATTGAGATAGATAGATAGATAGATAATGAACAGGTTGAGATAGATAGATAGATAGATAGATAGATAGATAGATAGATAGATATTAATAGACTGAAATAGATAGATAGATAGATAGATAGATAGATAGATAGATAGATAGATAATGAAGAAGTTGACATAGATAGATAGATAGATAGATAGATAGATAGATAGATAGATAGATAGATAGATAGATAGATATTAATAGACTGAAATAGATAGATAGATAGATAGATAGATAGATAGATAGATAGATAGATAATAAAAAAGTTGACATAGATAGATAGATAGATAGATAGATAGATAGATAGATAGATAATGAAAAAGTTGACATAGATAGATAGATAGATAGATAGATAGATAGATAGATAGATAATGAAAAAGTTGACATAGATAGATAGATAGATAGATAGATAGATAGATAGATAATGACCACAGTGAGAAAGAAAGAAAACTTCATTATCCTGAACAAAACATACCTGTTCTTCCCACCAAGACGTCTCATAGCGAGAAAGACTTGCAGAAATATCTTTTATTTTTCACATAGCCGTTCAAACTGTTACAAGAACACATCTTCGTGTGTGAGAATTTAAACTCGAACGCATATACATATGTGTGTTCGAGTAAATATTCCTCTTGTTTGTTTATTTTTTAATCTCATTGTAATATAATCATATCGGCCCGTTACGCTATTCAGACACATCCATTGCTATTGTTGGTCAAATGAAATCGCTGCCTCGTAACATCGGCTCGGGAGATCAGCTCAGTAAAGATTTCAAAGAGTTTTCATGTCAGAGACAATAACTAAATTGCTAAATAAGCTCTCAGCCATTTTGTATTATCACAAGAAATTGGCCCAAAAAAGAAATACTTATTTTGACGTCTTTGGATAGTCTAGGAGAGGTCAATGTTCGTGTCTAAACATGATATTGTTGGGTTTTCGGATTTTTAGGTCGAGAAGTTCACTAAGCCGAAAAAGACGACGACGTAATAAATGTTCGAAAACTGTTATTATGTAATGTTGAAAAATATGGCACTAAATTAGACGTCATAATTATTTACTAGGTATGAACAGGATTAAAAATGTAGATCAGGTTGATTAGTTTTACGATATGATCACCTTTGATAGGTTATTTAATGGAGAATTGGCTAATGCCCGATAATGCAACAAGTGGCTAATGACCGATGAGGCAACTGGTGGTTAATGACCAATGACGCAACGTTGGTTATTGGCCTATAATGCAACAGGTGGCTAATGACAGATGAGGTAAGGGGTGGCTAATGGCCTATGATGCAACCGTGGTTATAGGCCGATAATTTAACAGGAGGCTAATGACAGATGAGGCAACGGGTGGTTATTAGCCGATAATGCAACAGGGTTAATGGCCCATGAGGCTCATGGCCACTAATTCAACGGGTTGTTAATGGGCGATAATTCAACGAGTGGTTAGTCAGATAATGCAACGGTGGGTAATGACCAATGTTGCAACGGATGGTTCAGTCCAATAATTCTAATAGGCGAGGATGCAAAGGGTGGTTAATGTCAGGTAATACAACGAGTGACGCATAAACCGATAATGCAATAGTTGCTAATGGCCTCTGATGCAACTGTGGCTAATGGCGAATGATGAAACGGGTGGCTAACGGCTGATAATTCCATGAGTGATTAATGGCTGATAAGGCAACAAGTGGTTAGTCACATAATGCAACGGGTGGTTAATAGCCGATGAAGCAGCGACGCTTAATGGTCGTTAATACCACAGGTAACTAATCACAGATAATGCAACGGTAGCTAATGGCCTCTGATGCAACTGTGGCTAATGGCGGATGATGCACCGGGTGGCTAAATAGCCGCTAATACAACAAGTGGCTAATGACCAATAATGGAACGTTGGCTAATGGCTGATGATACATCGGGTTGTCAATGGCAATAGTGCAATGGATTGCTAATGGCCGATGATGATAAGGTTGGAAATGTCTCATAATAAAACGGGTGGCTCAAAGCCGATAATGCAATGGTGGCTAATGGCTGATAATGCAATGGTGGCTAATGGCTGATAATGCAACGCTAATTAATTGCGGATACGAAGAGTAACGGTTGGCTAATGTCCGATGATGCAACGTGTGGTTTATAAAAATTCATAATTAAAGAATCTTGGATGTATCTGTAAACTGCCATAATTGGTGTCACTTAAATTCTTTGAACCTCTCATCAAACGTACCTAAATCAACATGCGGACAATTCCCAAACATGGATGATTATGAGTAATAAACACACACACACACACACACACACACACACACACACACACACACACACAGAGAGAGAGTCACACTCACAGACACACGCAAAGAATATATATTATCATCGGAATATCGCATAGACCACCTAGAAATATAATACACATAAACAGATGAATTATACACATGAAAACCAATGAAAAACAAACAACAAAATTAAAAATAGTAGAATTTTATTTCTCAGCTCCATATTTAATTCTCTGGTGAAGTTTTAATAAAAGCGAAACTTGTTAGATTTATAAACCTTTCCGATAAAACATCGGGTGGCCGATTATGCAACTGTGGGTAATGGCCGATAATGCAATGGGTGGCTGAAGGCTGATAATGCAATGGGTGGCTGAAGGCTGATAATGCAACGGTAGGAAATTGCAAATGATTTTACAATAAAATGATTTTACTAAGAAAATACATTACAAATGATTTTACTATGAAAATGCATTGCAAATGATTTTACTATGAAAATGCATTGCAAATGATTTTACTATGAAAATGCATTGGAAATGATTTTACTATGAAAATGCATTACACATGATTTTACTATGAAAATGCATTGCAAATGATTTTACTATGAAAATGCATTACAAATGATTTTACTATGAAAATGCATTGCAAATGATTTTACTATGAAAATGCATTGGAAATGATTTTACAATAAAATTGCATTACAAATGATTTTACTATGAAAATGTATTATAAATGATTTTACTATGAAAATACATTACAAATGATTTTACTATGAAAATGCATTGGCAAATGATTTTACTATGAAAATGCATTACAAATGATTTTATTATAAAAATGCATTTGAAATGATTTTACTATGAAAATGCATTGCAAATGATTTTACTATGAAAATGCGTTGCAAATGATTTTACTATGAAAATGCATTGGCAAATGATTTTACTATGAAAATGCATTACAAATGATTTTACTATGAAAATGCATTGGAAATGATTTTACTATGAAAATGCATTGCAAATGATTTTACTATGAAAATACATTACAAATGATTTTACTATGAAAATGCATTGGCAAATGATTTTACTATGAAAATGCATTGGCAAATGATTTTACTATGAAAATGCATTGGAAATGCCCGATAATGCAACGTTGGTTTATGTTTAATGATGCGTGGGGGGTTAATCTTAATACACATTAACAAAACCGAGCATAATTTCTGTTTATGAAAGTCACCCTATAATTCTTTTGGCGGGAAGATTCCTGATAAATATTTTATCAACTATAAACGCTTGTCAAACGTACTTTATTATATCACCAACTTTTATAAAATCCATACTTAAAGAATCGAGAATAAAGTACAACCAAAACCGGTGTAACTGAAATTCTTTCACCTTCACACCAAACTTCCCAAAATCAAAATGCAGGCAATCGCTAAAAATGGATAAAAACACGCAGACAGATTTATAAATGTTTCGTATTTGTCCCTTATCCTATAATTCTGTCGGATTCTAATTCATATATAAAAAAAAAATCGATTCTTCCGTCGGGTTCGACATATGAGGGTCAAGCAGATCAGTTTCCAGTTTCCGACACCGGCACATGAGATTCGATTATAGTGGTGAAGGCTTCGTGCAGGACCAACAACACTTTTTGAAGGTCCGAATACAGAGACCTGGTGCACTACGTGCCACAAGGTTCCCAAACAACCCTCCGCAGGTTTTGAATTCAGAGTTCAATATATATATATATATATATATATATATATATATATATTATTTGGCTTTAATTTATTTTTATTTATTTATTTATTTTTTGTCCCATGGTCATCGTTATTTTTGGTTTTAGCTATAAATACTGTTCCATAATTTTTCCATTTCAGCCAGCATTACCCTGAAGATCCGTTTAGATAAAACCCAGGTAGGTTTGCCTGGCTCTTTAGGATTATCTTAGCTTTTGTTCTACTTAGTGTATTGAGCACTTTACATAGTTGTCTTTTTACTCGTTTTGTTTTTTTTCCTTTGGACTTGGAGCTTGAACTCTGAACGATTGTTTTCGCCTTGTTTTAATGTTCTTGGTTCTTTCTTTTTTTTATTCCCCATTTTTCCTCGAGTACAGATTTGTTCTACTGCTAGTCGAGCTATCTGAGATTTTTCCAAACGAGTACCACCATTTATATATATATATATATATATATATATATATATATGTGTGTGTGTGTGTGTGTGTGTGTGTGTGTGTGTGTGTGTGTGTGTGTGTGTTATAGCATACCTACGGACGATAATGGATATGTCCCCATTGACATAAATACAGTAGTAAATACTGTATGTTGGTCTGCAGTCGGAGATTTTTGTCTCCAGCTGTGCTGGTCAAACTCTCTGCGTCCGAACAGAGAGGATCCCCAAACAAGACTCTGTCAAAGAACAGAATCTCGTCTCGGGAAACAGCTACCCAAGCTGGGGTCTACGCGGAATTTTTGGCCGAGCCTCCGGGCTCGGATACCCCACATTAAATTCG